CCCAATTCCATCTTTGCCACCCAATTCCATCTCCATCTCTCATGTTTTTGTCATCTCTTGAGTTTTTATCTTTTGTGTTTTATTTTGTCTATTTTTATTTCATCATTTCCCACTGATGCCACTCTGGTTCGTTGACTTTTCAAGCTGGTTCTGGAGATCTTTTGTTCTTTGTACCACAGGAGATGGATCAACAGAATTGTCCAAGTGAGGTTCAGTGGAAGTCACAAGATTGTCTTCTTCACTGGAGACAGAATGGATCAGAACCATTAATTATAGTTAAATGGCAGTCAGTAGCCTGAAGCTGAAAACCCTCCCTTTAAAAACTCTGTATTTGGAGCAAGATTGCAGACTAGAAACATCTCCCTGTTAGCCACTCCTGGCAAGGCAGGGGAAAGAAAACCAACCATCTCTGACTGAGACACCCTACCTGAAGTTGTCACTTGGAGGTCATAGTGAGGTAGTGGGGAACAACAGGAGCCAGAGAGGAGGTCAGGAGCTGAGGAAAGCCACACAGAAGGTGACTGAGTTGGAAAGGTCCCTGCCCAGCCAGCCTTCCAACAGAGGACAAGAGAAGGGAAGGGGCTGTCCTGCAGGTTTTTGTTTTGGGGCTGGACTGTTTTCATCATTGAAACTGCCTTGGAGAGCTTAGACCAATGCCTGGACTCAAAGGGTGTTGAGCAGTGGGGTTTGAATACCAAGAGGGGTGACATTCCTTAGATGTTAGGTGGGCTGCCATTGTGGGAAGGTCATGAGGGAGAAACAGTCTGCAGGGTCCTAGTGCAGGTCCAGCTCTGGCATGCCTGATGAGCTTGAGCGTCCATTCTTGAGGTGAGCTGAGCTACTCTTGCACCCCAGGGAATTGTGGTCGGGGGCACTAGAAGATGTACCCCCTAAGGATTCTAGCTAGAGCTTTAAGACCCCCACCTCTTGGGAACTGAATTCTGATGAAGCAAACAGGCACTGACTGAGAGCAACTACGTCAGGAAGATAGGATCCAATATCCTAGGCAACTAAAGATTGGTTGCCCATGTGTTCTCCACCTCCAAACATCACATCCAAATATACGTATATATTGCAATATATACGTATATATAGAATAGAAATAGAATAGAAATATTATATGTATATAATATGATATATATTTCTATTATTTTTGCTCTGCTTTCCCAATTTTTTTTTAGGTTTTTTTCTTTTATTCTTTTCTTTCTTTCTTTCTTGCAGTTTTTGGCCGGGGCTGGGTTTGAACCTCTAGCATATGGGGCTGGTGCCTTACTTCTTTGAGCCACAGGTGCTGCTCTCTTTTATTCTTTTCTCTTTTTCATTGCTAGGGCTTTTTTTTTTTTTATTTTGGGTTGGTTGTATTTTTTTTTTCTTTTTGAGACAGAGTCTTACTATGTTGCCCTTGGTAGAGTACCATGGCATCACAGCTCATCAAGAGCTTACCTCCAACTCTTGGGCTTAAGTGATTCTCTTGCCTCAGCCTCCCAAGTAGCTGGGACTACAGATACCCACCACAACACCCAGCTATGTTTCTGTTGCAATTGTCATTGTTGTTTAGCTGACCCAGGCTGGATTCGAACCTTCCACCCTCGGTATATGTAGGTGGTGTTGTAACCACTGTGCTATGGGCACTGAGCCTGGTTGATTGTATTCTTAATCTTCTAGTTTCTTCAATAGCAAGGGGTCTTCCATTTTTGTTAAGGTGTTTCAGCCCCTTTCATTCTCTCTTTCTTTTTTCTTTCTCTTTTTCCCCTCATTTTTTGGGAGAGACTTATCTAAATTCTCATGTTCCCCACATACATTTCTCATATAACTGCTAAGATCATTCTGAAAATTAATGAAACAAAGAGTTGGTTTTTTAAAAATAAATAAAATTAATAAACCATTGACCAGATTAACTAAAAACAGAAAAGTAAAATCTCTAATAACCTCAATCAGAAATGAGAAAGGGGAAGTAACTACAGATATCACAGAAATGTAAAAGATTATCTCTGAATACTACAAGAAACTCTATGCCCTGAAATTTGACACTGTGGAGGAAATGGACCAATACCTGGAATCACATACTCTCCCTAGACTTAACCAAGAAGAAATAGATCTCTTGAACAGACCAATATCAAGCACTGAGATTGCAGAAACAAAAAAAATCAATAAAAGCTTCCAACAACAGCCAAAAACAAACAAACAAAACAACCAACAACAAAAAGAAACAAGAAATACAAACCCTGGACCAGATGGCTTCACAAGAATTCTATCAAATCTTCATAGAGGAGCTTATAGCCATACTGCAGCACCTATTCTAAAATAAAGAGAATAAACATAATTCACCATATCAATAGAACCAAAAACAAAGACCACATCATACCCTAAATAGGTGCATAAAAAGCATTTGATAAAATTCAGCTTCCTTTTCAAACAAGAACACTTAAGACTATAGGCATAGGTGGCATACTTCTTAAACTGATTGAAGCCATCTATGACAAACCCACAGCTAATATACTGAATAGAGTAAAACTGCAAGCTTTTCCACTTAGAAGTGGAACTGGACAAGGATGTCCTCTATCACCACTATTCGATATAGTGCTGGAAGTTCTAGCCAATGCAATCAGGCAGGAGAAGGAAATAAAGGGTATCCAAAAGTAGGCAGAGGAGGTCAAACTCTCACTCTTTGCCAATGATATGATCTTAGAGAATCTCAGAGACCCAACCATAAGACTTTTGGAAGTGAACGTTTTAAAGCAATAACTGAGAAAATGACATGAAGGCTGTGTTGACCAGTTGATGGAAGTATTTCAGATTGCATGTGAAAACCCCACACTGTACCCCAGAAGTGCATTAATGTACATAGTTACCATTCAATAAAAAAAAAAAAAGACTTTTGGAAGTGATCAAGAAATATAGTAATATCTCAGGGTATAAAATCAATGTCCACAAATCAGTAGCCTTTGTATAGGCCAATAATAGCCACACTGAGAAACTAATCAAAGACACAATTCCCTTCACAGTAGAGTCAAAGAAAATGAAATACCTAGAAATATACTTAACAAAAGAACTGAAAGAACTCTACAAAGAGAGGTATGAAACCCTAAGAAAAGAAATAGCAGAAGACATTAAAAAATAGAAGAGCATACCATGTTGCTGGCTGGGAAGACATAACATCATTAAAATATCTATACTTCCTGAAGCAATCTGCAGATTCAATGCAATCCCATTAAAATACCAACATTATATATTAATGGTTTGGACTTTTAAGTAAAAGAAAAACCAAAAATGGAGGGAGGGAAGAAGAAAGAAAAATAAGGAAGACAGGAAAGGTAGGAAGTATGGGAAGTACTTAGATTGAGATAATTTCAAAAATACTCATTTTAAAGTTTTCATCAGACTTGTTTCATCTGGAAAGAATTTGAGTTTGACTATTCTGTTGTTTATCTTTGTTAGCATAAGACTTCCTCTTTGTTTTGGCATTTTGGTTTGCAAGCTCATTTTCAGTGAAAGGTGTTTTTTTTTTTTTTTTCCTGTACATCTGTCTCTCTTCACTCCCCGTATCATAACTTTCACAGCTGAGAATTCTCAGCAGGGCATTTTGAGGCTCCTGTCTCATAGTGGTACTGGAATCCTATAGGCCCAGCCAGCAGGTTCAGTTTCTGTTGTAAGACTCTGTTTCTTCCTGCCTCCCTATCCGTGCAGTTTGCTCAAAGCCCTAGGACCTCAGTGGTAAGCAGCAAGAGTTGTGTTTTGTTCTGTTATACAACCAGCTACTCCTCTGTATGCCAAGAACATGGACCTGGACCTCAGGCTTTGGAGCTCAGCAGTGAGCCTGACCTCACTCTCAGTTCACCCATGGCTTTGTTCCTATTCACCTTTTTGTATTTGTTTGGGGGATTTTATTTTTACTTTTACTAATGACTGTGCATTTGGGGAAAGGGGAAGCCAAAGAGTTATCTTAACTGGAAGACTGATCCACAGCCATTTTTCTGTGATATTAATTTATTTACTGCTACCTCTTTTCAAAAAAGATGTTTGTTGTTCACTTGTAAAAGGTGCTGAAAGTCATCTACTGAACTCAACTCATTAAGGCTTGAGAAAGCAGAGGAGGCGCACCAAAGGGAAATGTCCCATCAATACATAAATGGGCACAACTTCACAACCCACAGAGCATGTATACGCTTCCTATGGCATGTATACGAAGAGTAAGCACATTTTCCAAGTGGAAGGCCTAGTCAGAAGAGAGGGAAGTAAACAGGAATAGAATGGAACTCAGCTCTGATCGTCAAAGTCTTCAGGGTTGAAACAGGATTCTAGAATTTGACTATGTGTTTTCCATCTGTGAGCAGAGTCACTATAAACGGTTTATTTCAATTTAACTCTACTCACAAATGTTTACTGTGGTAGGTGCTAGAGACACATAGTTGAGTATAATAATTTATCTCTGATTCAAGGAATTCACAATTGAGGACTGCAGGGAGAGACATATAAACAAAGTAATTACGTTTTGAAGGATGGATTCTATTAGGTTCTACACGCGTCCTTACGGGGATACGGCAATGGGGCAACAATTAATTGTATTGGGTGGCTGTCCGGGAAAGATGCAAAGACAACGTCATTATCTGCGTTGGGAAGGACATGGTAAGCACGCGCACAGCTGGCAGGGGAAGGCTAATCCAGCAGCAGGGACCCGCTGGGACAGCGTTTCCACCGCGCACAGGCGACCCACGCCCTCTGCTGGTTGGAAGATGCCAGCTCAGGCACCCGCTGAGGTTCCGCATTTGCCGGCCGCCGGCCGCCAGGGGGCACTGTGGCCTCGCGCCGTCGGGGCCGTTGCATTTCCGGGCCCGGGGCCCAGCACGGCGCCAGCGGACCCGCTCGCCTTCACCGCGCGAAGCGCCGCGCCTCTTCCGCTGCTCCCGTTACCCGGGCAACCGGGGCGCCTCCTCCGTGCCGGCCCGGATCCGCTGTCGGCGCCATTTTCAAACCACTCTACCTCCGGAGCCGGTGGCCGGGGAGACAGAACCATCGAGGAAGGCGCCTCCCGAGGGCGATGCGGCTGCAGAAGGAGGAAGCGGGGGCCGGAGCTGCCGGTGAGTCCGGACGCTGGGGCGGGAGGGGCGGACAGCGGCGGCGCCTTCGCCCGCGTCTCCCGGACGGTCCCCGCGAGTCGAGCCCGAGCGCTGCCAGAGGCCGCGCGGCCGCGGGAGGACGTGGAGCCGATCCGGGTGGGGCGCGGGGACCCGCCACCAGCCCGGCCTCCCACACCCGCTTGCGCCACTGTGATAGTAAAGTTGCAAACTCCAAATTAGCCGGGGATGTCTGTGTGGGCTGTGCAGACCAGCCTGCTGGCGACTGATGGAGTCATTTAAAAATTAAAATGCCCTCTCAGTGTGAGAATGATAGTTCTCTTTGTAACAGAAATTCCCCCAAGAGTAGAAAGACAGCCAATCTTTGCCCAGCAACTTTGTAAACATCCCCTCTGCCTTCCAGGAAAGGTTCAGAGATACCCCTCTGTGAACGGGTTTCTTTGGGGGATTTGTTGCTTTTTTAAAGCCCTTGTGATTGGAAACATACAGACTTACAGGATGTTTTTGTAAAATAAGATGTTCTGCTTTTCAGATGTCAGTGCTCCCGAGTTATGTATACTCCTAACGTGTATGTGCTGGGATCCCCAAACTTAACCTTTTATGTTGTTTTGCTAGCAATTTAGAGTATAGCCACAATGTTTGCAAGGAGGGTATGGGGGAAGGCGAGGATCCCTGGGTGGGGAAAGCTGAATCCATGTTTTGTCCATAGGAGGATTGAAATCTGTTCGGACTATTGAGGCCCTCACCATGATTTATTGATATATATTCAGTCTCATCTCTCCCTCCCCAAAGCAGGATGTAAGAAGGTATTTTTTTTTCTAGGTAACCAGAATTGGTAGCAGATAAAGAGGAGAAATATTTGTTGCAGACTCTGCCAGTAATACGCCTGAGTTTGTCAGGGGTATTTTTGATGTCTGCAGGAGTTTCCCTAAAACTCCCTGTGTCAATTAGGTCCCTTTTGTGGAAGGAACCTAGAAATCCGTGGGGAAGCCACTCAGAGAAAAGGTTACCAAGAGCAGAGAGTAAGATTTGTAGAAAGGAGTAACCAAGAAGACGTATTAATTTAGACAATTAATGGTAATTAATTGGTAATTAATTAGTGGTAATTTCAGGCCACCTGGTACAGAAAGCAGAGTGCTGACCTCCAATGGCTGCACATTTGCTTTGTGTTCATGTAGTTTGGGAACGGTTACTTTCTTGAGGGATCCTTCCCTCTCCTTTAAATAGGAATATCATTGACCTTTTCTCCCTCATAGGGGAGTTGTGAAGAGCAAGTTTTTACGTGTATTGACACGCATGCATTGCATCTTTTATAAACTTTAAAAAACAACGGTGATGTAAAGCAAAGTTTTTATTTGGTTAAGAAATATGACTACATTTAGTTGGCAAAGGTCAGAAAAGAACAAAGTTTCTAAAGAAATGATCTTTGGGTGATTCCCTTTTAGGGCAGACACTTATATGGTAAAAATGCATAGATCTCAAGCATCCTATTAGAAAAGCTTTCTTAAATGTACACACATATATACCTGTGTCACCAGCACTGCCAATCAGCATAATATTTTCATCACCCTAGAAGTTATCTCTTTGCCCTTCCAGCCAATCTCCACCACACCCAGGTCTACTGCTGTTCTAATTTCTGTCTCCATAGTTTAATTCTGCCTGGTCTTGAACTCTCTGTAAATGGAATCATATGTGTCTGGCTTCTTTTGCTCAAATGATGGTTTTGAGATTCATCCATGTTATTGGTATGTATCAGTTTCTTCCCTTTAGGCCTGTCTTACTATGTGGTGTGAGATGTTACAGTTTATCACTTTTGTTATTGATGGGTTGTTTCCACTTTCCAGCTATCACACATAAAACTACTGTGAGCATTCTTGCAGTCTTTTTGTAGATGTTTATTTTCATTTCCTTGCAAAAATGACTAGGAATAGAATTACTCAGACATAAAGTAGAAGTATTTAACTTTATAAGAAACTGCCAGACTTCTTCCAAGGAGATTTTTACACTCTTGTCAGCAGTGTGTGGAAATTGCTGTTACTCCACGTCTTTGCAGACATCTGGTATTGATCCTTTTAATTTTAGCTATTTCAGTGTGGGCAAAGATGCACCTCATTGTGGTTTTAATTTGTTTTTCCCTGATAACTAATGTTAAGCATATTTTCATATGATTATTCCCAATCAGATGTCTTTTGTAAAGTGCCTCACATCTTTCACACAATTGCATTTTAGGTTTTCTTATCACTGAGTAGTAAAAGTTCCTTTTATAGGCTCAGCGCCTGTAGCTCAAGCAGCTAAGGCACCAGCCACATAGACCAGAGCTGGCGGGTTCAAATCCAACCCAAGTCTACCAAACAACAATGACAGCCAGAACCAAAAAATAGCCTGGGATTGTGGTGGGAGCCTGTGGTCCCAGCTACTTGGGAGGCAAGAGAATAGCTTAAGCCTAGGAGTTGGAGGTTGCTGTGAGCTGTGATGCCACGTCACTCGACCCAGGGCAACAGCTTGAGGTTCTGTCTCAAAAAAAAGTTCATTTTATAGTCCATATAAAAATCCTTTCTCAAATTTCATAAATACTTTCTCATACTCTCTGGTTTGCCTTTTGGTTGTTTTGTTGTTCGTTTTAGAGAAGGTCTCCATCTGTTCCCCCTGCTAAAGTGTAATGGCATCATCATGGCTCACTGCAACCTCAGACTTCTAGGATCAGGTGATCCTTCTGCCTCAGCCTCCCGTGTGGCTGGGACTACAGGCACGTGCCTCACGCTTGGCTGATGTCTATATTTTTTGTAGGGAAGAGGTGCACTCTGCTGCTCAGACTGGTCTTGAACTGCTAACCTCAAGTGATCCTCCTTCCTTGGCCTCTCAGACTGCTAGGATTATAGGCAGGACCCACCATGTCCAGCCTCTTTTCCTATTCTTTTTTTTTTTTTTTTTT